GCTACGCCAGCATGGACCTCTTTCATGGGAAGTGCTTCCCCTACACTCTCGTTACGAAAATAAACAAAAGGTTTCGGATCAAACATGTACATTAAGACGGCAAAATTCATCAAAATTGTAGCGAACTCCCCCAAAATACCCAAATGGCAGTAAGCTAAATATTTGCTAAAGGCCGAATATGTGTTAAAGGACCCCTATTATACTCTTCGTAAACATTATATTACAGGTCTCAGATATATACAGAACCTGAAGTGAACGGCTTCCCACACACTCGTGATGGAAATACACGTTTCTAGTAAAGAATGTACATTTAGAGCCCAATGTAAATACTGCTATATTTAATTTTTTAATGTTATTATAGTTTTCTTATAATAGCTCTCTATCTGTGTTTTTTATTAATTTTTAACTTTTATGTATGCACCATGACATCAAGTCAAATTCCTCGTACGTGTCAACCTACCTGGAAATAAACCTGATTCTGATTCAGTATGGTTCAAAATAACTAGCTGCAGTTAGGGCTGCTAAAGTTCCTTTTTATTTTAATTCAAAAGTCAATTTGTTGTATTTTAGCGGTATATTTAAACCAGCAAGACATGACTGGGTACACTTAGACATAACAGAACATAAGTGTTTGGTACAGATCCTCTTAAATAATCATAACATAGTAATTGTTATCATTTGAGATAAGAATTATGATTCTAAAATGATGAATGGCACTTGCAATATCAGTCACAAATAATCCTAGTAAGTCTTTTTTGTCCTAAACGTGCAGTCGTAGGTGCGATGACTTTGACTGGTAGAATTGCGATATGATACGCAACATTATAAGGCAAAAATCAGGCCTCTCTGCAGCTCCACAATGCTTCATTCTGGAAATAATGATAACAGGTGAAGCAGCTTAATAACTCTCTCCTCTTTCACAGCGACACATTTTTAAACAGCTGAGTACACAAGCCTATCTGTGCAGCTTTGATGAGCGTCCAGATCACATATTTACTTTTGATGCCCTTTCTCCAGCTGCCCTATGTGCAGATAATCAGAGGAAATCCACCGGAAGTCCCACAAGACAAGAAATAGGGAAGCACTACGCACTGTAAACACCCTCAGCCACTACACTGCAGCGAGGCTCTTCACTACAAACTTATTTACTCCTCAATTCCAGAGAAGGCAAAAGTACAGACATCCTTTACTCAAGTAGAAGTACAGATACTCGTGTTTAAAAATACTCTGGTAAAAGTAGAAGTACTGACTAAACTTCTTTACTCAAGTAAAAGTAAAGAGGGCTTTGAAATGTACTTCAGTAAAAAGTACCCATAACTAGCAGCTGTTTTAAAGAGTACCTGACCTCCCTTTATATTAATAGAACAATAATGTCATTGTTAGCTAATCAATGTTTCCATGCTGAACAACGGCAACATGACAACGTTTTCATTGGTCCCTCTTCTTTAGAGAAGACCAGGAAATGATGGATACACGGATCGTGTTCAAATCAATAGGCACGCAATGACTCTAAATAATAATGATCACGCCACCAAACACACATTCAATGTGTTGGAGCGCTAGCCAATAGGAGCCGCTGTTTTCCATACTGATGTCACTTTGTTCAGGAAGTCAACAAAGGAATCTAGTGGTTTACAGGGATTTTAACCTTTGCAGACCATTTACATGCACTAAAAACCCTATATGACACACTACAGGAAAGGGTAACACCTCCAAAAAGCATCATAGGGCCTCTTTAACCTAAAAGGCGCTGTCAAACCACCAGACGTCATCCCACAGGCCATAAGACTGTTAAACACCTGAACCTTTGAAAGAACATCCATAAACATTCATCTGTTTGCAACTTACAAATTATTTATCTAATATATCATGTTCCAATTACTTGTAGACTCTCCTTGCACTATTCTATTTAGTTTGTATTTACTTGCACTATTTTATCTGTTTTATTGTGTTGCCCTGTTGGAGGAGCCTGTGACCTCAGATTTTTTTTCATTGTCATATCTACACTAGCTGTGTACACATGACAATAAAAGCCTTGAAACTTGAAGATGAGCCTGGTGACCTCTGCCCTTTAGTCCTGACTGATACTGGAAACCAGCAGGAATGCTAACGAGTTTAGCCACACAAGGAATCTTTTTAAACGTTCCCACTCCGGAGAAGTACAAGGTAGCTTTAAAATGGAAATACTCAAGGAAAGTACCTCAAAATAATACTTAAGTACCGTGTATTGTTTACCAAAGCAGAGCAGAAACTAGTATACAATCAGCAAATAAAGAGAGCAATAAAAACACTTATTTAAGTCGTTTAAGCGGGGAATAAACGCAGGATTTCGATGTGAGAAACTCTCCCAGGTTTGTCCTGTAACCACCGAAGCTAACAGTAAACTCTCCGACACACAGTTCACAAGCTCCTCACTCTTTCCAATCAACAGAACTTAGTCTGTTTTGCTTGCGAATGTACTTTGGCTTGTTCTATTTTAAAACCCAGACCCTGGTTCAATCCCCCGCCCCCTCCCCAACATGTCATGATGAATGGGATGAATCAGGAAACCCTAGTTTACGGTACAAACGGAAACATGGAAACGTTTCAGGTGGCAACACAGGGGAAAATATACATTTGGAGTTCATATAGGAGGGTTAGAGTTGGTACATTTTCAAGGTTATATCAACATTTTAATATTTTACTTTATTTATCGGCAGGATAATTGGGTTATGTGACGGTTTCAGCTCCATTTGAGAAGGAATACGAAATAAGAAATATATACAATCCAATAAAAATATGTTTATTTCTGTGTAAAAATATAGAAAATTGTAAATAGCTGTTTATTCAAATGTAGGATGTTGAAGTAAAAATGTCCAATAACATACAAACTAATTACTAACTGTACAATAAAATTAAAATAAAATAGAATATAATAAAATAGTTATATGAACATAACAAGTTAAGGTAAGTATATGTAATAAAATGATAACATTAAATAAAGATTTTTATATAATTATAAGATGTGAATGTACTACAATATAAAACTTGTGAATTACAATATATACCATGTATTAGTATTCATAAGGTATTACTGCTGATTTGCAGTTTACATTTTGACAGAAGCTTCAATTTGATGAAGTGAGTCCTCCTACGTAAGCCATCTGTGAAACCAGTTGGTGTTTCTCGAAGACCAGTCAGAATGTAAGAAGTATAGTTTGTTTTAATAGATAATATTTGGACTATGTATGCATGATGGCTGCCGACAATACCAACACATTTCCAAGGTCAAAGTATCCCCATGTTTGTTTAGTAAAGCAGAATAAATACTGGGTGTAGCGACGCAAACGTCTAATAAACGATGTTGCTTCAGAGGCTAAATTTAGTCCATCGTTGTGATTCGTTCCTAATAAGAAGTGTGTGATGAAGTTCATGATGTTTGATAAAGAAAATAAACAACAATAACCAGAACTATACGGTCAACAAAAAGTACCCCAACCAAATCACCTTCTTTCTCTTCCTACAAAAACCCAGCAACACAACAGGTGGACTCAATAACTTACACCCAGGTGACAATTACCAGAAATGGTGGGGTAAACAAATGATGATATAATAGAAACGACCAACAACAACAACAACAACAACAAAATAAGGCTCCTACATTGGGAGTATTATTAAAAACGAAAGCCTTTTCATCCCACAAAGTAATGACTATTGAAAATCAAGGTTGTGTTTACTTTGTATCGTCAAAAACCTAAATAAAATTAGTGTTTTTATTGCTCTCTTTATTTGCTGAGTGTATACTAGCTTCTGCTTCACCTTTAGTACACAATACACGGTACTTAAGTATTATTTTGAGGTACTTTCCTTGAGTATTTCCATTTTAAAGCTACCTTGTACTTCTACTGCACTACATTTCAGAAGCAAATATTGTACTTTTTACTCCACTACATTTATATTAACACTCACAGGTACTTTGTACATATAAAAACACATAATGTGGTATAATGCAGTACTGTACTGAGGTACTAGCCTTGAAGTACCTCAATTTGCTCCACCTTAACTACACAACTGAAATGCTCTTATATGGATAACAGGATAAAATAATAACCATAATAAGATCCTTTTAACTTTGATACTTCAAGTATATTTAGCTGATTATACTTCTGTACTTTAATTGTATTGTGAAATTAGCCATTGGGCAGAATTAGTACTTTTATTTTGTGTATCCATCTATCTATCTATCTCATGTGTAATACTTGTCAACACTGCATAATAACTACCCAATTTAGGATGAATAAAGTATCTATCTATCCATCTTTTTCCCATATTTGAACAGCATTAGTTCTACTTCTATTTAAGTACAGCATCTGAGTACTTCTTCCACCTTTAAATGCAGAAACAGTTCAGAAAACATGTTTTCTCTTTTGACAGTGATGCACTGATGTATAAAAGCAGCAACAGCTCACCTTATTTCCCATATTTAATAAGCATTAGAGCCTGAAAACGACAGTGTATTATCCAATGTCTATATGTGTCTGTTGCTTAGTGAAAATGTATATTGCAGAGTATACAAATGTATATAGTATTTTGTTTATTTTATGTATTATTTACTCTAGTGATACATGTCTTTTAAACAGGGAAAATGTATATATTTGCTGTTCATTTGAATTGTGTATTATGTTTGTATATAGATAGATAGATAGATAGATAGATAGATAGATAGATAGATAGATAGATAGATAGATAGATAGATTTGTCACAGCAGCAGTATGTTCATGCATACAACTATTTATAAGGTGGATTAAAGTATAAACCTAATACAATTAAAATAAACAGCAAATATAACCCAATCTACAGTTATTTGACAACTTGACAACCCTGCAAGATGTGTTCCCAATTTGTCATGAATAAAGTATCTAACCATGTGTCTTTTCCCCATGTTTGCACAGCATTAGAGCCTGAAATGAGCAGTGTTCTCCCCGGTGTGTGGTGAGGTGTTTTGGGGCATCAGTACTCACTCTCTGCGGTGGCGGGCCGGAGGATGAGCCCCAGCATCAGACCCCAAAACAAGGTCAAATCTCTCCATTCCGTACCAGACCCCATTCCTGGATGCGTAAATCCTCCCAAATCCTGTAAATAAATATGTGGAGAGGAGGAAACGTGACGCAGAACCTGCAGAGGAATAATAAAACCCCTCTTTTTTTTAATCTCCAGTCTGCAGCTTTTAGCAGTTAGCCGGCTAATGGAGCTAATAGCTAATTCTGCACACAAGCTTGCAGGGTAGCTAAGGGAGTCCAATGCAAAAAAATAAAAAATGCAATCACCGACTTATTCCTCTTGCCAGGAAATGTGAAATCATAGTCCAGTTTTATCCCTGTAAACGTTTGTATAATGAAACCAATGCGGTTACACTAGCGGCGGGGATTCCTCTGTAATCCGCATCTTCGCACTCCATTTCTGGGGGAAAAACGCTCAACGTCCCGCTGCTGCTGGAGGGTCCTCAGTGGGGGGGAACAACCCTTAAAATCGGGATGGAAAGAGGGTATCTAGGCAGATTAGAGGCATCTTTAATCAATGCATGGTCTCTTTGTGTTAAATACACGACGTTTGTTTGGAAATATCCAGGATAAAATGTAGTTTCGCAGCCTCCTCCTCCTCCTCCTCCTCCTCTTCAGCCGCTCATCACGTTGTTGTGGTGGGAGTAATTCAGCCTCATATCAGCGGGAAATGAACGTTTTTCCAGCGTTTTTCTCCGGGAAATGTCCAGAAATGATCGTATCTGATGTTTCCCGTCGATATTTAGTTAAATAGGTGGTGTTTTTAGACGGATAAAGGCTCAGGTACACGCAGTCTGCTGCTGTAAACACGGCGCCCTGTGCACAGATCCTCTCTGATTCTAGAGACGTATCACTCCGCCAGAATCCAGTGATCCGCCTCCAGAAGAGAAAAAAGGTGGGTGTCACTCCGACTGCAGTTTGAGCTGTTACCATAGTGACTGCTCAGACAATCGCACTCACAACAAGGTCAGGTTAATCTCTGTTTGTGTATTATAAACTGTTATCTATACTAACTACATGTTGCACGTTTCTGTACACATCTCTGCACAGCTCTCCATTTTAAAATACGAGACAGAGCAGTAGGGAATATATCGTCATACTGTGTATTCATTTTACTACGTTTTTTGGTTTTCTACTTCCTCTTTGGTGTAAATACTAAAAGTCTTTACTCTTTTTTAATGTTAAATAGTTTCTTTAAATATCTTCTTTTTATAATCGTTATATTTTTGACCTCTTACAACTTATTTCCTTATGTTGTTTATGATTGCACCACCATACACCACAGCAAATTCCTTGTATGTGCAAACTTACGTGGCAATAAACTCAATTCTGATCCTGATCCTGATCCTGATTCTGGAAGACAATGGGCCGCAGGTACCACCACCTTTTCTCAGCTATTCAAAAGTCAAACTATTGTAGTTCCTTACCCTGTGTATCACTTGAGTCTTTTTGTAGTCAATTTGAATCACATTGTACTTGTATTGCCTCTTTTTGTAGTCATTTTGAGTGTCTTTGTCGTTACTCTGTGTCTCTTTGTAGTCATTTTGTTTCTCTTAGTTTGTAGTAACTTTGTGTCTGATTTGAATTGTTTTGCTCTTTTTGAACGTTATCTTACGTCTATTGTTATTTTCCCCCATTTCTGTGGTCATTTTGAGTGTTAATGTTTTCCTTTTGGTCTGTTTGTGGGTGTTTTTTGTCTGTGGTTCCCCTTTTGTACTGGTTTTGTGCCTTTGAAGTCTTTTTGTAGTCATTTAAAAACTCATTGTACTTGAATTGCCCCTTTTGGAAGTCATTGTTTTGTCTCTTTTTAGTCATTTTGTGTTTCTATGTAGTACCTTTTGCGTCCCTTTGTAATCGTATTGTTATTTTTGCATTTTAATTTTTCCTTTATTGATGTTGTTCCTCATTTTCCTAGTGATTTTGAGTCTCTTTGTAGTTGTTTTGGTCTTTTAGTATTTATTTGTTTTGTCTGTGGTGGTTTTGCCCTATTTGTAGTACTGTTGTGTAATTTTGTGGTCATGTTGTGTCTCTTTGTATTTGGTTTTGGCCTCTTATTAGTCATTTTGGTGTCTCTTTGTGTCTCTGTTTTGAGCAACAACGCACATCTCTACTTCAAAGTTCCTTGTTCATTCTTGCGGTAGACAGTATTGCAAATAAATTAACTAAAATGTAATCAGGAATAGCATAAATGTTAGTAAGTTAGTAGTAGGCCTACTAATAAGTACCAGTATCCTATAAAACAGTCACAATTTCCAATGTGACCTTTGCATGAATTCTGAGCACCAAATCCCAGTATCAGTTTTTAGAAGTACCGACAGAGTGAGACATCTTGCTCTCCATTCCCCGCCGAAGAGGCTCTGTTTACGGCCCCGGTGAGCGGGAAACCCCGGGAAAAAGATCCGGGATCAGGGTTGTTTTGCTCCAGAAACACAGCTGCACAAAGCTCCTGTCTGTCTGCACCACCTGTAATTACACTCCTGAATCCACGCAGCTGGGCCTCTATTAGTGCCTGTCAATCATGCACAAACATCCCATAATATTCAACATCGCGTGCACATTATTGCATCTGGGGATTAACCTGCAAGTGTGTGTTGTCTCTGTTATTGTTTTCTAGACATGCAAACATTTGTACACGCAATTTTCTGTACATTGTGATGTAATGCTATTTGATGTGTTTTTTGCACTAACAATGCATTGTTTTTAGACGTCAGCATCTGCCTTGTAATATTAAATCAGAGAAATCATCACGCAGTCTTTTGAAGCTGGTTCTGCAGCAACTCGTGCAAAAACATTTTGTTCTGGTTTCCTCTGAAAAGACACCGAAATGCTGCCATCTTCAGGGGAGCTGATCCAGCTGCAGTCTACGAAAATGTGTGAGTCTTTTGGGGTAAAAACATTACAGAATGGTAATACAACTTGATGAGAGTCAAGCCATTTTTTTAGAGATTACAGTTGTCTGCCTTTTCCCCAATATAATGGAGCTATAAGATGGCAGCATTTCGGTGTCTTTTCAGAGGAAACCAGAACAAAATGCTTTTGCACTAAAATGCTCTTCTGGATGTTTGACTTAAGAATGTTTTACACAACATTTAACTACGGTGGCTGACAGGGGCGAACACTTCAATTAGGAGAAACGTGCTGCAGTTTAACAAAAATGATTTGAATATAGAAACACAAATGTGCCAAAACATCTTCTCCAACTTGACAACACATGCAGCATTTAGTGGATCTTAGAATTACATTACATTACATGCCATTTGTTAGACGCTTTTATCCAAAGCGACTTACATACATTCAGTACTGTGGACAATCCCCACAGGAGCAATTTGGGGTGTAGTGTCTTGCCCAGGGACACAACGACATGCTGACTGCAGTGGGACTCGAACTTGCTACCCCCTGATTCAAAGTCCAGCACTCTATCCACTGAGCCACAGCCAAACAGAACAGCAAACTCCCTTGAAATGTTTAAAAGCAAATTAATAACTTATCTTTTTAATATGGCTTTTAATTTGGGTTAACTTTCAATTCTCACTAGTACCATTATCCATGCTTTACTGTATTTAATTTTTCTGTTTTGCTTTTATTTTAAATTTTTTGTTTTCTAAATTGTTTTATTTCAACATATTATCACTTATATCTTTTATCTTGTTTTGTATTCATTTTAATATTATTTTAATATTGTTGTTGTGTTTTCTGTAAAGCACTTTGGGCTGCTTTTGAATAATTATTTATTATTATTTTTATTTAGAAAACATTCAAAAACTTGAGGAAAAATATGCAGTGTTTACTAAAAGCATTTCTCCTTTTTTCTTTATGCATCAGTTGAGGATTTAACTTTAATAGTTTGCTTGCACCACCTTTGATATGTTATTGTACATTTTCAAAGACACACATGGCAAGAAAAACAGAGATACTGTACGTAAAGGCAACGCTCTTAGACAGAGAAAAACAAAACACAATTCTTTACATTTACAAATGTACACGGAGATACTTCCACTGCCTGTCCTCTCACAGGTACAGTATAGACCGTGCTCAGAGTCTGAGAGAGCAGACCGTAAACAGAGCCTGACAGTTTTGATTATCCCTGTAATTAGGGCGCTTTCATCACTTCCCAGAGCACAGAGGCATCATCTGAACGCCACACATTACCTCAGCTCTGGCACACAGCGCTCACACACAATCCAACAATTAGCACTGAGAGAGAAAGAGGGGAAGAAAGCACATTCAGAGGAAGTAACTAAGTACATTTACTCCACTACAGTTCAGAGGTGAATGGTGTACTTTTACTCCACTACTTGTATTTAATACCTTTAGTTACTTTACAGATCTGGATGAATGATGTGCAATATAATCAAGTGTTAAATCAGACTTTAGTTCCACCTGGAGTAAATTCACAAGCTACCCTGCAGTATACAAAGTCATTCAAACTAGCTGCACCTTTACCAGCTTTGAGAACACTTTCATGATCAATCATTACCAGAGGTGGGAGAAGTACTCAGATCTTGTTCTTGAGTAAAAGTATTTTGAGTCCAACAGCTAACCGATATATTGCAATTTACTAGAGGTGGGAGAAGTACTCTTGTACTTGAGTAACAGTAGAAGTACTCAGATGTTGTTCTTGAGTAAAAGTATAAGTACTCAGATCTTGTTCTTGAGTAAAAGGAGAAGTACTCAGATATTGTTCTTGAGTAAAAGTAGAAGTACCAGAGTGTAGGAATACTCTGTTACAGTAAAAGTCCTGCATTCAAAATGTTCCTCAAGTAAAAGTAGAAAAGTATTATCATCAAAATATAGTTAAAGTAGCGACAGTAAAAGTAGTCATTGTGCAGATTGGTCCATTTCAGAATAATATATATGATATGTTTTATAATGATTGATCATTAAAGTGTTCTCAAAGCTGGTAAAGGTGCAGCTAGTTTGAATGACTTTGTATACTGCAGGGTAGCTTGTGGATTTACTCCAGGTGGAACTAAAGTCTGATTTAACACTTGGTTATATTTCACATCATTCATCCACATCTGTAAAGTTACTAAGAGTATTAAATAGTAGAACAAAAATGGAAATACTCAGGTAAAGTACCTCGAAAATGTACTTAAGTACATTACTTGAGTAAATGTACTTAGTTACTTCCCGCCTCTGATAATTATGCTTTTGTTTAAATTACTTTTTGATGCTAATATTTCTATAAGTTATTTCAATCGCACATTGTTTACTTGTATCAGAGTATTCCTACACTCTGGTACTTCCTCTACTTAAGATCTGAGTACTTCTTTCACCTCTGAGCACATCCAAAATGCCACCCAGGACTCCTGATACAGTGAGTCACCCTCTAACAAGTGCTCACTGTACCAACATGACCTCGCTGTGCCTGTGAATGCTCGGCCTGTCCACTTGCATTTGTTAAATCCAAATTAAAGGCGGGCCCACCTACCTCGAAACGTCCCGCTGGAATCCATTCTCGCGCTGCACTCATGTGGAAATAAGCCTGTTTACCACCAACGGGTCGCACATGCTAATGAGCGTCTGTTTGTTTTCCACCGTGCTCATGCAGGAGGAAGGGAATTTACAGGCGGATAATATAATAGATGATATGCAGGAAAACTGCCCGGGTGGCTTTTTAATATTGTGAGACACTAATGATGAAAAACCCTGGATTAATGGATATGAAATCGGGGGAAATGTGGTCTGACATTTCAAATTGTTGTTGCGTCTGATCACACAGAGATACTGAAGGTCATGTGACCCTGTGGTGTCTCGATAATCCTCTGATGGACGGACAATGGAGACCTTTGGCATGACACCAATCTGACTGGTAATGCATGATGTTGTGGAATTAGATCTACAGTGGTTCCCAATCGAGGTACTAAAGAAACCCAATTTCCATCATGCAGTACACTGATGACCCCCGACCCTGAAAGGTGTACAAATACAGGACTGGTCTGCTGATGTTCAGGTGTATATCAGAATGTAGTGTCTCTACTTTAAAGAGTCCTCTCCTGCTGATGTTCAGGTGTATATCAGTATGTAGTGTCTCTACTTTAAAGAGTCCTCTCCTGCTGATGTTCAGGTGTATATCAGTATGTAGTGTCTCTACTTTAAAGAGTCCTCTCCTGCTGATGTTCAGGTGTATATCAGTATAGTGTCTCTACTTTAAAGAGTCCTCTCCTGCTGATGTTCAGGTGTATATCAGTATGTAGTGTCTCTACTTTAAAGAGTCCTCTCCTGCTGATGTTCAGGTGTATATCAGTATGTAGTGTCTCTACTTTAAAGAGTCCTCTCCTGCTGATGTTCAGGTGTATATCAGTATGTAGTGTCTCTACTTTAAAGAGTCCTCTCCTGCTGATGTTCAGGTGTATATCAGTACGTAGTGTCTCTACTTTAAAGAGTCCTCTCCTGTTGATGTTCAGGTGTATATCAGTATGTAGTGTCTCTACTTTAAAGAGTCCTCTCCTGCTGATGTTCAGGTGTATATCAGTATGTAGTGTCTCTACTTTAAAGAGTCCTCTCCTGCTGATGTTCAGGTGTATATCAGTATGTAGTGTCTCTACTTTAAAGAGTCCTCTCCTGCTGATGTTCAGGTGTATATCAGTATGTAGTGTCTCTACTTTAAAGAGTCCTCTCCTGCTGATGTTCAGGTGTATATCAGTATGTAGTGTCTCTACTTTAAAGAGTCCTCTCCTGTTGATGTTCAGGTGTATATCAGTATGTAGTGTCTCTACTTTAAAGAGTCCTCTCCTGCTGATGTTCAGGTGTATATCAGTATAGTGTCTCTACTTTAAAGAGTCCTCTCCTGCTGATGTTCAGGTGTATATCAGTATGTAGTGTCTCTACTTTAAAGAGTCCTCTCCTGCTGATGTTCAGGTGTATATCAGTATGTAGTGTCTCTACTTTAAAGAGTCCTCTCCTGCTGATGTTCAGGTGTATATCAGTATGTAGTGTAACAAACTTAGAGGAGTGTTTACGTGTTCGGTGTAATGACGTACAACGCCCTCCACAACTTCTGTAGTCCTATTCAGCCACTTGTTAACAACCATCGTTTTTCAGACACGTAAACTCTTCAGAAATCACCAGTGTGGTCACTGCTGATGTATTTAATGTCCTAGAACAAAACGTGATCCGTCTCTTAAATTTGTGTCAACCACAGACCTTATTTCCAGCTATTTTCCAAAATCCTATGGAGAAATCCCATTGGCTCTGAGACGAGGGAACAGGAAGTGGTAAAATGGGTTTTATGACTCATCACTGCACCGCTCTATAGAAACGCGAGTGTTACATAGTGATGTTATATGGGAGAAACTTCCCATTATGAAAAAAACATAAATACAAGAATCTATGAAACTTGATGGTATCATAACAATTTCCCAGTATATCATATGGAGATATATTTGGGGGCTGGGGGAGGGGGTCCCAATTCATTACGTGTTTAGGTTTTACTTTGTTTATTAAAATTCATCCCTTGCATGCAGGCATGGACTAAAATGCTTAACAATACGAAACATGTAACTGTTAATAAAACACTGTAAATACATTTACCCACTGTCTATCACAATGCTTCTGTCTTTCGCACAGTTATATATTCTGTAGATTTTTGAGGGTATTTCCTCTTGCATTATGTAAGATGGCCTTTGATCAGATTCTGTAAAGGTTGCAGATCTGAACAAAGGTGAAGAGTGTCGCCACGGCTTTGAGATTTCTAAGGCAGTTTGAAGACAAAGGTACAAAGGGTCCAGTAATGATGTGGTGCCTCAGCTGCCGGTGCATTAGTCACAAAGACTGCTAAATGATGTAATCCAGCGGTAAAGAGTCTCAGAACTTCTGCTGACAAACGGGAAACACAGAAGAAGAGAAGCGTTTGTGTAAACCAGGGGTCTCAAACTCAAGGCCCGGGGGCCAAATCCGGCCTGCGACTTCATTTTATGCGGCCCCGCAAGAGCTTGCAAAGAATATAATACGTTTATTATACGGTTACATGCCACTTTACAGAAGCAGGTTGCCCATAAACTACATGTCCCACAATGCATCTCGTTTTGTGACATGCGCACTGAAGAGACTTGCAATTATTTGCCCTGGACTTCTGCTTTCAGACGTAGTTAATTACTAAGTTATTATCCTATCCGATAATAATCCAATTCAGAGGCAATAATGTAATATTATAAATTATTTTATATATATATTATATATCTATATAGTTACAACCGGCCCTTTGAGTGCAACCTTTATGCGAATGTGGCCCGCGATGAAATTGAGTTGGACACCCCTGGTGTAAACCCTCACCGGTGGTGTCACGAAATCACGGGATGTTGACTTGAAAAGGCTGAAATATATGAGCATCACTAAAATCCAATACTCTAAAAAGTAGAGCAATTCCTCAATGTGACATTTAATTAAAAACAGCAGCAACAAAAACATAAAAAGAAACAGCATCCCACATTTGACACACATTACTCTTGTAGTTGGTACCAGAATATTACTTTTAATCGTCAGGAGATTCATCCAATTGTATATGCTTCACATGCAAAAAGCATTTTATTTATTGTGAGATGTTTTAAGAGGAAAAATGACATTGGTGGAGCTCAAATTTCTGTGACTGCGTCCATGTTTTTAGTCTAAATTGCAATATTTCCTGTTTGATTGCACAGTTACAAAGAAGTATTATGATTGGATCACATTTATTTGTTTGTAATTCATGTTACTCATTAACTTTATTCAGAATTGTCACAGTATGTGTATTCACTGACTGTCTACATATGAAAGCACAATCTGATAAAATAAGATATACTTGATCCCAAATGTTGAAATGTTTTTGTTGCAGAACTAAAGGACTTAAAGGTGGGGTAGGTACGAATGGAGAAACCAGCTTGAGTGCGCTAGAATTTAAAAATACACAACCGGAAAAAATCTGCCCCTTCCTTCAGACTTCCTTACAGAGCCCCTCCTCCAACACACACGAACACGCACATGACCAATGAGGGCACGAGATGAGTTTGTGCACAGATGGAAGGCTGACAGGCAGGTAGGCCATCCAGTTATTTTAGCCGGCCCGGCTCAGATGATTGGTCGTGCTTTTTACAGCGCCACGGCTTCCACAGATGAAATTTGTTTATGTATTTATTGTCAAAGCATTTAATGTATTCATTGCTATCGGGATGTTAAGAGCATTCCATAGAATATAACAAAAAGTGTTTCTGAAGTGAATTACCTATTGGTTTGAAAAGCAGAAAGCAGCAGGTCTCCCTTGAAAAAGAGAGCAATGATCTCAATGGGATACACCTGGATAAATAAAGGTTTGAATTGAAATGAAATGAGAAAGTAGAACTTCTTTCAGCTGGGAATGCTTGCTAAGGTTTACCTCCCAATAAATACCTTTTAGACGGTTATACATGCCTTTGTTACGTCACGTTTGGATTACTGTAACTCCCAATTTGTTGGTCTGGACCAGTCATCAATTCACCCTTTACAGTTAGTAAGGGGGTGAAAAGTTAGGACGATTCTAAGGGCCCATGACTGACAGGGGCCCAAACAATTTTAGAACATTAAGAAAAAGATGTTTAAGTAACCAATGTGATTATCTTTTCATGGGGCCCAAAATCCCTGGCAGTTAGTACAAAATGCAGCTGCACTTTGGTCAACTGAGGTTTTTTTTTGATGTGCTATATAAACAAACTTGACTTGACAGAATAATGTTAAAACAAGGAATTGCACATACTTTGAAAAATAAAAAGAGTAGAAAAATAAACAAACATAACATTTAAATCAGAAACAGATGTCAAAGCTGGAGAGCAGAGTAGATTTGACTTAAGTGCAGAAGACGGGTTTTAAATACAAATCCTTTATTGTTGATTGATCCAGAATTCACAGAGCGAGGTAAACTAACCAAAACCCAAACTCTCTCTTTCTAAATAATCTTCACACATCAAGGAGCACCAGGTGAACACAATCAGCTAATTAACCAGGAGGGAACACAGAGACAGGTCTTAACATGACAAAATCAAACAGGGAAAACTCATACAGATCATAACAACAGGTGTATTGCCAAGTAGGTTAACACAGATGAAGAATATGTATTGGTGTTTCATCTCATAATAGAAAATAAAACAGAACTAAAAGTAAAATATATACAAGTTGAGCGTAACATAAACACTATGAAGGGCCTAATTACAACTAACACAATTTAAAAGTAGGATATTATTTACATTAAGTGTGCAAGGAATGGCGTATTAAATGAAATGTAAAATGTACAGTGTGGAGAAAGTTATAAGACCAGTTAACAGAAGAAGAAACTGTGGAGCGAGCTGTGAGTTATTTTCAAGCCAGAAGAAGTGAGTTGTTATACAGACACGATCCAACTCTGATGATGTTTACATCTGCAACACATAACCTGGATACTTAAAAACCTGATCATAAGCAGGGTATTAGCAGTAAGTTATTTATAGAACATATTTATTAGTAGTGCGCCTGTAAACTATCACGTAAACGCACTCAATGACCTGCTCGGAACCAAAGTGTTTGTTGGAGGTCGGATGCTGAATGTAGAGACGCAACCGGATGTAGCGATAAGCCTTCTGACAGCTGAGAGGACGGTTAGCACTTAGCATTCGAGCTAACGTGATTTAAACCTTCAAATCCCTTTATATTTTAAGGTTATTTCATATTTTAATTTGACAACACCAAAGAACAGACATGATTAAATCCATTTTGATATTTAACAACCACGGGAAGCCGCGGCTGATCAGGTTTTATCAGTATTTTGTAAGTATTTCCTGTTCAAAACATTAGCATTTCTCTGTTGTTGTTTTTATACTGTCATTTGGTTTATAGTGACTTTGGTTTTTGCTTTCAACACTTTGTGCATTAATGCTGACATGTATTTGTGATGTTATGTCTTTTAATATGTGTCATTAACCTACAAATAAATCAAATACATGTTGTTAGCTGTAACTTGGCCCTTCGTAGTGTTTATTTGTCAGAAAGTCAACAGATTTACATTTTTCACGGTCAATTTGTGTTTATTTACTTACTGTCTTTACTGTAATTTGGCTCATTATTGCTCTCCTCAGATTGTGCTTTAATGCCGACATGTCTTTGTGTTTTAATATAGATACAATTCAATGTTGTAGGGAAGTAAACAGCTAAGCTTTTACACTACTGGTAAAATAAAAACACATGTTACAAAAGAGGAAATATAACTAGTTTCCCCTTTTTACCAGTGGTGTTTAGTAACTAATACATCTACTCAAGCACTGTAATTAAGTACAATTTGTTCCTACTTGTACTTCACTTGAGTATTTCCATGTTAATACTTCTACTTAAAGATCGGAATACTTCCTCTTATCATCCTTGTGTTTTTTAAATGCATGATGTCCTTTTCTTAACTTTCCCTACTATATCAGCAAAGTGTTAAAAGTAAGAATCCCTCCCAACCTTATTGTGTGTCTGTAGAGGAAGTGTATTTACCGAACACAGACTACATTACTTTAGCTGACGAGTTGTTTTCTTGCAGGCGGAGGACATGCAGCAGCAGATCATCAGAGAGACTTTCCATCTGGTTTCTAAAAGAGACGACAACGTCTGCAACTTCTTGGAGGGAGGAAGGCGAGTATTGCTGTTTGCTGTGGGAAAATCTGATGTGCATAAGTCAATAACTAGCCATGTATTTATACTATAAGTACATCTTTAAAGATTATTTCATGTGTTTGTTGTTGTTGTTGATGCGCCTCTATCAGAAAAGCTGCTGCAACTGAACTTGTTGCTTTTTCCAAGGGTTTGTTTTAAGCAGGATTAAAGACAACATATTCACTGGATTTGAATGAAACTTGGTGGAAAAGTAAAGTTTGAAACAGATCAGAATGAGAGGGCAGACACACACATTCATTTTTTACTTTGTAAGCATTATAAAATAAGGCATTCGGCCATGGCGGAGCAATGTGCTCTACCAGTGCATTTCTAGTTTTTCTAATGCATAGACTGACTGTATGGATACAGCTGAACATGTGATCATATTTATATTTTTAGCGAGTTTAAAGTCCATGCAGACAGAGACTGAAAGGCAGACCTGTAACTAGTGTCATGTCAACTGACTGTGGATACAATAGTTCACTTTAACCACTAGAGGGAGGCAAACCCACAGAAGTAGAGCTCTGACTCACTTCTTCCATTGTATAATCCATTGGTTCCCAAACTTGTTGTGCCCAAGGCACACCAAAGGACAAGTAGAAAATCTCAAGGCACACCTATTGTGCGAAATAGCCCTTATAACACGTGTTATCACTCATATCATGTAAAATATCTGTAAATGTGCATAATTATTTACTAATGCCAAATAAAATGTGACAAAGACAACTATATTACTCATGAAATATTTATTAACGAAATATTTCAGAAATTAATTTGAAACTTTATCAAATTAGGCTTCATCAAAGCAGCAACACACTCATTTAAACCAGACAGGTCACAAAATAAAAAATTGTGGAGGATCAGGCTTTGGTGGTCGGCTCCCATCTCGGCGCACAGCTGGGAGAAGAGGCGAGATTTCAGGGGCCTTGATTTGATGTAATTCACCATCTGCACCTGATTCAGCACCTCAGTCAACTCCGGGGGCATGGTTTTGGCAACTAATGCCTCTCTATGCAAAATGCAGTGGTTTGTCACGATATGTGGGTTTTGTGCTCTCACCTTAGCAATAAATCCTTTCACTCTCCCCGTCATGCTTGCCGCACCATCTGTGCAAAGACTGACGCACTTATTCCAGGTCAGACTGTTCTCTTTTAAATAGTTATTAGTTACCCTGAATATTTCTTCTCCCGTAGTATGGCTTTCCATTTCTTTGCAAAAGAAAAACGTCTCTTTGTCAGCATCAACATATCTGACGTTTGCCAGAAGTTGGGCAGCCCCACTTATGTCAGTAGATTCGTCTATTTGTAGGGAACATCTGCCGCTCGCCTGCAGTGCCATAAGACAGGTAACTTTCATGATACTGTCTGCTGACAGTTATTTTCTTCTTTTCTTTCGGTGGTGGGTTGTCGGCAGTCTCTGCACTGGTGGTTGGTGGTTTGCTCCGCACAAGAAAGCGCTCCATTTCCCCTCTTGCGTGTTTCTCTGTTTTAATGTTGTCCTTCAGCCTTCGATGTGTCACGGTCGTATAATTCCCACCTGCAACTGCGTTAACAGCGAAATATGGGGTTCTGTGAGGATTTTTTTTTAAAGAATTGTTTTTTAGGTATAGAGTTTGCCTCTGTATTATGAAATGAGTGCATACAAAGTACTGATATAGTAAATTAAAAAATAATTATTTTTGTGTAGTTGTATATTGCAATAATAACGTATGGTTGTCACAAAATCCCACGGCACACCCGGACTTGCCTCACGGCACACCAGTGTGCCGCGGCACACCGTTTGGGAACCACTGGTATAATCAAATCATTAACAATTTTAAAGCATACAATTATTTGTTTGACCAAGTTTTATTCCTACTTTCAGGATTCCACATGCATCTAAATACACCTAAACTACTTTTGAGTGTAAAGTCCCATTTCTCTCCTCTTACAGTCTCTTGACTTCTTCCCCCACTGTGAATTAAATAGCTAATATTTTAAATATTCTTTTTACATTTAAGTTGAGTTTAATTCCTGCTGTATCAAATCCACGAGTGACGCAGCACAAATCCACACCTATACTTTCTTTAAGTCTAAAGTCTAATTTCTGTCCTCTTACAGTCTCATTGGCGGCTCCGACTACAAGCTGATCTACCGACACTACGCCACGCTCTACTTTGTGTTCTGCGTGGACTCGTCTGAGAGTGAGCTCGGCATCCTGGACCTGATCCAGGTCAGCATTATGTAATGCTTTATAGACACATTTAATGTGTGGTTTTTTAAGAAAAACCATTCAACACCTTCTGACAGACAGACAGACAGACACATACACACACACACGCACACGCACAGACAGACAGACAGACAGACAGACAGACAGACAGACAGACACACACACGCACAGACAGACAGACAGACAGACAGACATACACACACGCACACGCACAGACAGACAGACAGACAGACAGACACACACACACGCACACACACAGACAGACAGACAGACAGACATACACACACACGCAGACAGACAGACAGACAGACAGACAGACAGACAGACATACGCACAGACAGACAGACAGACAGACAGACAGACAGACAGACAGACAGACAGACAGACAGACAGACAGACAGACAGACAGACAGACAGAAACCTCTCTAAATATAAAATCAAACAAACTTAAAGGCGAAATAAACTACCAGTGTAATGTGTATTTGTCGATTGTATAAAATGTAGATAATGCTGGTTATCAAGGAAGTGAAACTTACTCTCTTCCTGGGTAAGGCGAATAATAAAGAAGATAATAACTTTGTTGTACCTCTGATAACACATAAAGACGTAATTAGTGCCCTAAAAAGTGAGTTTTGAGTGAGTCAAGCTGCTCACTTCTCCTAATCACCATCATCAGATATTTATCAGCTATTTATCAGCTCCCTTCTGCGTCATCGTCGATAAAGGAGAATTACTGCAGGATCCATAAAAGAGGAATGACTAAGTGGTTAAAGATTGAAATTCTAAAATTAGAAGCTGATGCTCGATGTCTATCTGAACATACTGCTCATTTTCACATTGACTAACACATGATACAAAAGCAGAAATACCTTCAATGAATAACCCGTAAAGATGTCATATTTACGGGTTATTCAGAATCTTTGATGACCTGCACCGTTTGATTTGATCCTCCTTCTTGGCGTCACCTTTAAAATTGTCAGTGATGATGGTTATCTTTTCAAAGCCAGCCACCATTTTATTTAAGTCTGCACCATCCACTGACTTCCTGTTTGTGACCATTTTTACTTATTCATTTGACTTTTAAGAATGGTCTTTATTAACAAATACCAGGAGGGGATCCAGCATTTGTCACGCCCTTAAATATAGTCACATTTTCAAGTCAAAGTGCGTCAAAGTCAGTCAAAGTGCGTCAAAGTCAGTCAAAGTCAGTTAAAGTCAGTCAAAGTCAGTCAGTCAGTCAAAGTCAGTCAAAGTCAGTCAGTCAGTCAAAGTCAGTCAAAGTCAGTCAAAGTCAGTCAAAGTCAGTCAAAGTCAGTCAAAGTCAAGTCAAAGTCAGTCAAAGTCAAGTCAAAGTCAGTCAAAGTCAGTCAAAGTCAGTCAAAGTCAGTCAAAGTCAGTCAAAGTCAGGTCAAAGTCAGTCAAAGTCAGTCAAGTGAGTATAATATTTTTTAAAGAATTTGTTTTGGGCCAGAGTGCCTTTATTCCAGAGAGGGTGTTACATTGAGAGATAGAGGGGAAGACATTGCCTGAAAACTTTGGCGGGCTCGGGTTTCGAACCCACCTACTAGCTACTGTAGTGACAACTCCTGTCATTGATTGCATCTCTGCGTGAATGATTAGATCATTTCACCTAAATTAAATCAAATGAAATTATGTTGATGGTTAAATTAGCTTCACATGTACTGAGTTCTGAACTTGCCATATGCATCTATAAAGGCCTTGGGGCTATGTTGTTTGATTTGAATTAAACACAATATATGCACTCCACTGCTGTTGTATATTAACCTTATCTGAAGCTCTTAATATGATTGCTCATATTTCAAGCCATCTTTTTCCCGGGCCCTTGCTTTGGATCATCAACCGGCCCCATTCCAAACTAATTGAATAGCCCTGGTGTACATAGTGCAAATGGGAGTGCAACATTGTCCATAGCAGCATAAAAGTGACTGTGACTGGTGCTGGACTCTTTTGTGTGGGTGTGTGTGTGTGTGTGTGGGGGGGGGGGGGTGTTAAAGTCCCAGTCCTGTGGGGCAGGGTGGAGAGGTGAGATAGAGGTGGGAGGGTTCAGCCTCCTGACAGCCTGGTGGAGGAAGCTGATGAAGCTTCAAGTACTAATATATAAAATATTTTGCTTTCTGATAACGTTTAAAGGTCAACTATAAAGGTGTTTTATTTTAAGAAATGAGATGTTTAACTGTCCCTAATGTTCTTCCCTGTAGGTGTTTGTGGAAACGCTGGATAAATGCTTTGAAAACGTCTGTGAACTGGACCTGATTTTCCACATGGACAAGGTGAGCGGGCAGCCAGTTTAATTCTTTGAGCATCTTTACGTTTTTCTTTCTGCACTTTGCTTCTGTAAGTGCCACGGAGTAACTTTGACTTAGACATCAACTCCTCTGGAGGGAACTCAGGGATTTTAGCCTCTGCAGACCATTTACATGCACTAAAACCCATATAGCACACTACAGCAAAGAGAAAACTCAAGAAAAGCGTAACACGGTTTCTTTAATAATATTGCACAAACACATTTCAATATTTTTGGGAGTAATTTTCTCATTTCACATCATATAAAACACCAGGAAATAAATGATCAAAACCAGCGTTTCCGCCAGGGGGGCGTCTTGTCGTCATTTGACGCTCTTATTCAGCTCGGAACGCCCTGAACTCGAGCTGAGGGCGTCCAAAAAAAATAATAATTCGAGAGAAGATCGAGTTTTTATCGCTTGAAATGACGAAAAGTAAAAAGGACAAGGACATCCCTCTGTTGGAGGGGCAAAGGAGTCTGGTGGGATTCTTTTCACCGCCAGCAAAGCGTGTTCCTGTGACGGAAAGTGTACTGCCGGCGAGCCTTGATGGGGGGTGCTAGTGGAGCACGCGTGTGAACTGCGAGCGCCTGAGCCTCGCAGCGGCGAAACTGAGGCTCCGTGGTAAACTGAAGAGCCGTTTAGGAGCCGAAAGAGCCGGCTCTTCTTAGTGAGCCGAGCCAAATGATCTGGCTCACTAAGAAGAGCCGGAATTCCCATCACTAATACGTAAAGAGATAGTATCTATAAGGGACGGCTCTATTCAAAATTCACGTGACACGATGTGACGTCACACCCCCCCCCCCCCCCCCCCCTCTCGGGGTGGACGCCCTCTCAGCCCTGGTCTGGCGGAAACACTGATCGAAACATAATCTCACTAGATAATACATATGCTGACAAACTGCATTACTTGTAGTAAATTGCACAATAATAATAATATTGTATCGTGAAAACCTCTTATCTTTAAGCCTTAGGGTAATCTGACATTTCAGTCTCAGTAAAACGTTGTCTCACGTGGGCCTTTTACCTGCAAGAGAGCAGCTCATTAAAAACTGTTGCATTTAACGGCAGGCAATAAAACTAAGCAATAAAAGTATTATAATAAAACGTTCACTGAGTAGCAGCTGCAGGGATTTCAGAAGGAGAGGTTATTTGAGGCCAGGAGGTCAATATCTACATGGTTACTATATTTCAATGAGTTTTATGCATTTACATTACACATCATTTATCTGATGCTTTTGTCCAAAGGGACTTACAATAAGTGCAAAAGGGAAGGTACGTTTATTTATATAGCACATTTTCAGACACAGAGGCAATTTAAAGTGCTTTACATCAACATAATAGGAAGACAAAAGAAAGGAACGCAATAAATAAACACAATGGAATAACAGGTTCATAAAAACCATGCATACAAGAGATACAGAATAGTTCAGAAACAACATTGTAAATACGGTTGGTGCTAAAACAAGTTAAAAGACTTCTGGGTAAGCAGCTGAAAAAAGTAATGTTTTTAGCCTCGACTTAAAAGAGCTCAGCGTTGGTGAAGACTTCAGGTTTTCTGGGAAGTTTGTTCCATTTGTGGGGTGCATAGGAAGCTTCGGCGTGTTTGGTTCTGAGCGAAAAACATAAAGATCAAACTCCGAACAACGAGGAAAGTGCAGATATATTCACTTCAAGCAAGATCATACCATAGTTAGTGCTGGTGAAGAAGTCATGTGACCACCTGGGTTTGGGAAAAGACAGAATCAGCTGTGTGTCGTCTGCTTAGCTGTGATAGGAGAAGCCATGTGAGCGAATGAGAGTTTGTGTACAGAGGGAAGAGAAGGGTACCGAGGACAGAGCCCTGTGGGACCCCAGTGAAGAGATGACGAGAATCGGACACTCTCTAGTCTAAATGACCCTGTAGCTGCGATCATGCACCTAAAGTAAATTGGTTTGCCACAATGTTACTGCATCTGTGGGAAAGTGCAAGCCTTTGCACTCCCAGTCTGTTATTCCCATTAAAAGAGTTGCAACTCACCTCATGTTTACTCCATTATAAGCTGTGTGTGCCAACTCTGAAACGGCACTTTGTCATAGTTTGTTTTGTTATGTTCAATAAAAGGCTCAGAGGAGTTAGGATTGAGCTGTAGAGTGACATGACACTGTGTGTGTGTGTGTGTGTGTGTGTGTGTGTGTGTGTGTGTGTGTGTGTGTGTGTGTGTGTGTGTGTGTGTGTGTGTGTGTGTGTGTGTGTGTGTGTGTGTGTGTGTGTGTGTGTGTGTGTGTGTGTGTGTGTGTGTGTGTGTGTGTGTGTGTGTGTGTGTGTGTGTGTGTGTGTGTGTGTGTGTGTGTGTGTGTGTGTGTGTGTGTGTGTGTGTGTGTGTGTGTGTGTGTGTGTGTGTGTGTGTGTGTGTGTGTGTGTGTGTGTGTGTGTGTGTGTGTGTGTGTGTGTGTGTTCCCAATATCCCGATGCTTTTCAGGAACAGCTGTAAGTGATCCAGCTTCTTCTAGGCCGTAAGTCCAGTATTTATAGTAATGCTATTTATCAAAGTAGCCCCCGGACATAAAACAGTAAATCAGGGAGAAGTGATTCTGCAGCTCTGAGATTTCTCGCCTGCTTGTAGTTGTAAAAAATTGGGTTTTTTTTGGAAGAAATTAGTGAAAAACACATCTTGAGTAAAAAAGTCCAGATGATGGATTTTAAAGAGTGAAGGCTGCTTCTTTTGAAAAAGGAAGCTCTGGGTTGTTCGAACTACAACAAGTGCAAAGTGCTGCAGGAGACTAATCACACACATGTACGGCCATCTTGATTGAATTTTCCCAGCAGGAAATTGATGTCATGTGGCGCGGTGGGGTTTGGCCTGAGGAATGTTCCCCAGAGGAGAGAAAAAGCTCTCCTCGCTGTACAACTCATCGTTAAATGTATACAATATGTACACCAGTGCAAGGTTTAACTGGTTTAATAATACCTGTCTGTGGTGGATATATGCAGATTCATAAATAACTTTAACGCTGCTTTAAATCCCCTTTTTACGGAGTCTGATATAGAAACTGATGGAATATAGGTTTATGGAATACGATACGTTAGGGATTTTAAAAGCTTTTTCATGCACAGTTTTTTCCAGTTTATCCTACTACAGTAAGCTTCAGAGTCGTTTTGCCATCATCCTGCCCAAAGGAATCCCCCAAATCTCAATTTGAAAGTCAAATTGAAACTGTTTATGTTCCAGAGAGAGGACTGAACTCTCCAGGTGTTACCTCGCTCATGTTTTCTGTATCATTTTGTGTAAAGAAACACAAACGAGCAGAGTTGCAGGATTGGAAATAATCCAACTTTAAAAGCTTTACAGAGGCCCTTTTCCCTCTCCTGTAGTGTGTTATAAAAGTTTTAGTGCATGTAAACGGTCTGCAAAGGCTAAAATCCCTGGTTTCCCTCCACTGAATACTGATATACACCTGAACATCAGCAGGAGAGGACTCTTTAAAGTAGAGACACTACATACTGATATACACCTGAACATCAGCAGGAGAGGACTCTTTAAAGTAGAGACACTACATACTGATATATACGTGAACATCAGCAGGAGAGGACTCTTTAAAGTAGAGACACTACATACTGATATACACCTGAACATCAGCAGGAGAGGACTCTTTGAAGTAGAGACACTACATACTGATATACACCTGAACATCAGCAGGAGAGGACTCTTTAAAGTAGAGACACTACATACTGATATACACCTGAACATCAGCAGGAGAGGACTCTTTGAAGTAGAGACACTACATACTGATATACACCTGAACATCAGCAGGAGAGGACTCTTTGAAGTAGAGACACTACATACTGATATACACCTGAACATCAGCAGGAGAGGACTCTTTAAAGTAGAGACACTACATACTGATATACACCTGAACATCAGCAGGAGAGGACTCTTTGAAGTAGAGACACTACATACTGATATACACCTGAACATCAGCAGGAGAGGACTCTTTAAAGTAGAGACACTACATACTGATATACACCTGAACATCAGCAGGAGAGGACTCTTTAAAGTAGAGACACTACATACTGATATACACCTGAACATCAGCAGGAGAGGACTCTTTGAAGTAGAGACACTACATACTGATATACACCTGAACATCAGCAGGAGAGGACTCTTTGAAGTAGAGACACTACATACTGATATACACCTGAACATCAGCAGGAGAGGACTCTTTAAAGTAGAGACACTACATACTGATATACACCTGAACATCAGCAGGAGAGGACTCTTTAAAGTAGAGACACTACATACTGATATACACCTGAACATCAGCAGGAGAGGACTCTTTAAAGTAGAGACACTACATACTGATATACACCTGAACATCAGCAGGAGAGGACTCTTTAAAGTAGAGACACTACATACTGATATACACCTGAACATCATCAGGAGAGGACTCTTTAAAAGTAGAGACACTACATACTGATATACACCTGAACATCAGCAGGAGAGGACTCTTTAAAGTAGAGACACTACATACTGATATACACCTGAACATCAGCAGGAGAGGACTCTTTAAAGTAGAGACACTACATACTGATATACACCTGAACATCAGCAGGAGAGGACTCTTTAAAGTAGAGACACTACATACTGATATACACCTGAACATCAGCAGGAGAGGACTCTTTAAAGTAGAGACACTACATACTGATATACACCTGAACATCAGCAGGAGAGGACTCTTTGAAGTAGAGACACTACATACTGATATACACCTGAACATCAGCAGGAGAGGACTCTTTAAAGTGGACCTATCATGCTATATTTGAATAATATAGTGTAGGACCATACCTATATAAGGCATATTTATACTTTTTTTTTTCTTCAAAATACCAAACAGATCATGCATTTTAGCCATGCCTCATTTTGCTCAATTTGAAATGTTAGCTCTGCTCTGCAAGGGCAGATTCTGTGAGAACAGCACCACCTACAGGCCTGGCATATGTACTACAGCGTCTCCAGCGCTTTCGAACGGCAATGGCCGTGGCTGTCTCCTCCTGATTGGTGGAGTTGGCCCAATAGCCGTAGCGCCACCGTCCTGACGTCAGGACAGTGTTCAAATCTGGATCAGTTTTTATCAGATCCGTTGCAGCCCCTTTTTTAGAGATTTGGGTATGGAGGAAAATAGAGAGGGTTGTGTTTTCTGACACTTGGTGAGTTCCCTGGAACACCGGGGACACATATTCATGTATAAAAGACGCACAAAAGTGCATTTTGCATGATAGGTCCCCTTTAAAGTAGAGACTCTTTAAACACTTGCATCTCGCTGTCATTTGGAGCAGCAATATGTAAACTACTTTGCACTATTTCATTTATATATCATGTTTATTGTTTCTTTAGTAGCAGTGTACTGGACCTGTTTTTACGACTGTAGTGATGTTTACAGGTGTATTAACTACCTGCTGTTTCTCCTGTGTGTGTGCAGGTGCATTACATCCTGCAGGAGGTGGTGATGGGAGGAATGGTTCTGGAGACCAACATGAACGACATCGTAGCTCAGGTGGAGCTGCAGAACCGCATGGAGAAGTCAGAGGTCAGTGTGTTGGACACATTGAGGACACACACTTCACAGACATAAAAAACATTTGCACATCACTTAAAAGCAGAGATGGCTAAAGAACACACATCCTTTACTCAAGTAGAAGTACAGATAACAATAATGTCATTGTTAGCTAATGAATGTTTCCATGCTGAACAACGGCAACATGACAACATTTTCATTGGTCCCTCTTCTTTAGAGAAGACCAGGAAATGATGGATACACGGATCGTGTTCAAATCAATAGGCACGCAATGACTCTAAATAATAATGATCACGCCACCAAACACACATTCAAACTAAAGGAACCAGTCTGTTTGGAAAATGTAAGAAGTAGAAAGTTCAGGTATTTGTGTTCAACATGTAAGAAGTAGAAAGTACAGGTATTTGGGTTCAACATGTAAGAAGTAGAAAGTACAGGTATTTGTGTTCAACATGTAAGAAGTAGAAAGTACAGGTATTTGGGTTCAACATGTAAGAAGTAGAAAGTACAGGTATTTGTGTTCAACATGTAAGAAGTAGAAAGTACAGGTATTTGAGTTCAACATGTAAGAAGTAGAAAGTACAGGTATTTGTGTTCAACATGTAAGAAGTAGAAAGTACAGGTATTTGAGTTCAAAATGTAAGAAGTAGAAAGTTCAGGTATTTGGGTTCAACATGTAAGAAGTAGAAAGTACAGGTATTTGAGTTCAACATGTAAGAAGTAGAAAGTACAGGTATTTGTGTTCAACATGTAAGAAGTAGAAAGTACAGGTATTTGTGTTCAACATGTAAGAAGTAGAAAGTACAGGTATTTGGGTTCAACATGTAAGAAATAAAAGTAAAAAGTTGTCAGAAAAATATGTAGTGGAGTAAAGTACTGATACCAGAAAAATGTAAGTACATTAACAAAGTATTTGTACTCCACTACTTCCCACCTCTGGTCTTCAGTTACACACACTTCCACAGACATAACAAACATTTGCACATCAGTTAAAAGATAATGCAAATCTTACCCAGGCGAGATGTTCAACGTCCAGATAATCCTCTGTGCTCGTTTTTATTTAAATATTACAATACATAAAGAACAATGGACTCCCCTGTGGCTTTTCCTCGGTTTTCCCCGATTAAAAACACATGTGCGCTCATACAAAAACCACCTGTCTCCAATATACAAGAATCACCAGGTGCCCAAATCCCCTAAAACCCCCTTCAAAATAAAAGCATAGAGAACCACTTCCACTAAAACAATTACAAACATGATTGATTTGATAAAAACAGAAACAGCTAGAAAATAAATATTTAATTACTAAATGACAGGACTCTTTAAAGTAGAGACACTACACACTGATATACACCTGAACATCAGCAGGAGAGGACTCTTTAAAGTAGAGACACTACACACTGATATACACCTGAACATCAGCAGGAGAGGACTCTTTAAAGTAGAGACACTACATACTGATATACACCTGAACATCAGCAGGAGAGGACTCTTTAAAGTAGAGACACTACACACTGATATACACCTGAACATCAGCAGGAGAGGACTCTTTAAAGTAGAGACACTACATACTGATATACACCTGAACATCAGCAGGAGAGGACTCTTTAAAGTAGAGACACTACATACTGATATACACCTGAACATCAGCAGGACAGGACTCTTTAAAGTAGAGACACTACATACTGATATACACCTGAACATCAGCAGGAGAGGACTCTTTAAAGTAGAGACACTACATACTGATATACACCTGAACATCAGCAGGAGAGGACTCTTTAAAGTAGAGACACTACACACTGATATACACCTGAACATCAGCAGGAGAGGACTCTTTAAAGTAGAGACACTACATACTGATATACACCTGAACATCAGCAGGAGAGGACTCTTTAAAGTAGAGACACTACATACTGATATACACCTGAACATCAGCAGGAGAGGACTCTTTAAAGGAAACCTATCATGCTATATTTAAATGATATATTGTAGGGCCATACCTATATAAGGTATATTTATACGTTTCTGTTTTCAAAATACCAAACAGATCATGCATTTTAGCCATGCCTCATTTCGCTCTATGTGCTGTTTGCTGTCTACGGGTCTGATTCTGCTGACCACGCCCCCCTGCAGGAGAGGGGAGACGTGCTCTGATCAGCTGCTGGGCTGTCAGAAGAGGGGGAGAAAAAGAGATCTCCGTCCTCCGTGTTTTATTATATAGAGTCGTTATTCATTTGTTTTAAAGCTCAATAAATAACAAAGAAGACCTTTGACCGGCACTTTTCTAATTTTGTCCGGAAGATTTAAACTTTAACGGACATCTTGACCGGCGAAAGTAACTGAAACTGAAACTCTGCCACACGGTCCCCTCGTTCCTTGGAAGAGGCGGAGAGGTGGGTGTTTGTCATCTGCTGGTGGACTAACCGGAGAGAATTACAGTACTTGCCTCGACGGGGAGGGATTGCATTGAATTAAAGCAGCGGGAGCAAACGCTTGCCTCGGGGAGGGAGAAAAAAAGCCACAGCGGAGAATAAACAGAAGGGTAACCATGGTAACCGAGTCTTCTTCGCTGCTTTTGTGGCAGACTACAGCGCCACTTATAGGCCTGGCATATGTACTACAGCGTCTCCAGCGCTTTCGAACGGCAATGGCCGTGGCTGTCTCCTCCTGATTGGTGGAGTTGGCCCAATAGCCGTAGCGCCACCGTCCTGACGTCAGGACAGTGTTCAAATCTGGATCAGTTTTTATCAGATCCGTTGCAGCCCCTTTTTTAGAGATTTGGGTATGGAGGAAAATAGAGAGGGTTGTGTTTTCTGACACTTGGTGAGTTCCCTGGAACACCGGGGACACATACTCATGTATAAAAGACGTACAAAAGTGCATTTTGCATGATAGGTCCCCTTTAAAGTAGACGCAAATCCCCTAAAACCACCTTCAAAATAAAAGCATAGAGAACCAGTTTCACTAAAATAATTACAGTAAATAATGATTGATTTGATAAAAACAAAAACAGCTAGAAAATAAATGTTTAATTATTAATAACATAATTATTAATAATTTTTTTTGTGTGTTTTTTTTCGACAGGGAGGGTTATCGGCGGCCCCCGCTCGCGCCGTCTCTGCCGTGAAGAACATGAATCTGCCCGAAATGCCCCGAAACATCAACATCGGAGACATCAACATCAAAGTGCCGAGCCTCTCCCCGTTCTGAGAGGACTTCCTGCCGGGCTCTGATGCTCCTCCGCCCATTTCTGCTGTAAACACTAAGAGAAAACCTGTTTTATATATTCGTGTATTATAAAAACCAGGGCAGCTTAATCCTGTCCCGCTCGTTCCTCACGCAGAGTTCGTTTGTATGAAACAAATGACTCCTGTTGAAGGATTTGCACAATAATGTAAAGTTTGATTCTTTAAAGCGTCATTAATGTTCATATTTATGTATTTGTTGGTAACACTTTAGATTAAGGTATTCACCATCAACTAGTTATCATATTAGAGCCACACTTCTAGCTTATTAATGAACATATTAAGTTATTTTGACACAATTAACACTTGTAGTTTCATGTCTTGTTACATGTTCTTGTTGAATAGATCATATTTGTTAGGTGTTATTAAGGGAGAATTACTATTCTTGTGGTACTACTGCCTTATTAGGCCCATATTGAGCATATTAAAACCCAATCTCATGTACATCAACGTCCTTACTTGCAATAAATAAGCACTATTTAGAGGGTTATTGAGGAAAAACTCTCAACTAATGGCTTATTACTTGTAGAATACGGTCACTAAGTGTTTTATAATGGCTAATAAAGAGCCAATGTACTGCTAATATGCATGTTAATTAACAACTAGTTGATGGTTAATTTGTGTACCTTAATATAAAGTGTTACCATGTATTTCTTTCTGTTGTTTCTCCTCCTCTCTGCACAATCTCAAACATGCATCAGCGTCCAAGGTTTCAAAACTTGTTTGGACTCGGCACAGTTCCCTGTAATCCAATCTTTTGGCTTTTGTATCAGGTTATTATTTCTCACATACAGTAGACACAATTAATCTTCCCCTTGCTGTAATATATACGGCGTCTCAGACTTCTCTGTGCTTTGTGAATGTGTTATTAATCTCCCGGGTGCAGGCTGTGCTCAGAAAATGCATTTTAAGTTGAAGCCAGGTTCAATGTGCCGCGATAAGATCTGTCCAACATCTGTTACGTGTTTGTATAAAGTGTCTTATTGTTGGTATTTAGTGGTTGAAACTAGCCATTGTAAAGACATTCCTTGCTACAGTAAAATATTAAAATGAAAACTAAATCCATGCGTCTGTTTATCTTCTTCCTCTTTTTAACGTTGTCACCAGACTGGTTCGTTTGCATCATGGGAGTTCTTTAATGAAACCGGTCTGTACCGTCTGCAGCTTTTCACCACAATGAGTTAGCAGTCAGCAGTCTTGTTGATTCAGCCGCATTCTTCCAGCCCCCTTTCCTGGTAATTTAGGGATTTTTTTGTGGAGTTGTTCCCTCCCTTCATCACCAGGAAAAACCTTTACCTCCACCCTCACATTATTCCACTTCCTCGCTGCATTCGGACTTAAATCAGAGCTCAGCGGACGTCCAGCTCCAGGTCTGGTATGTGCTGTTTTCCACCATGTTTGACGGGGTCATTTATCCAACATGCTGCATGCCAACACACTCCTTAGGTTGTGTGTTCCCTCACTGCTCTGTGATCGTGTGTGTGTTTCAGCGTTTTCAGTGTTTGGCATCTGGTGCTTTAAGCTTCTGTTCCTCTGAAGAGGCTTTCCCAGAACCGGTCGAAAACAACAACAATCATAACTCAATGTTTGTTTTGCAAAATGGTGCATTAAGGCAGTATAGACGGAGTATATGCACTGTGAAAAGCTTAAAACTGAGTGTCTGTTATTCCTCTTCTGATTTCACTGGCTATAGTTCAAATGAAAGATATATATATGTATACAGAATAAATCTCATTTAAACAACACAACACTTTTACTTTACCTTCTTATCTTTAAAGTCACAATTCTATTTTATTTAACCTTTTATTGGAGAGTTTTTAACTTTTGTTTTAATTACACATTCTTACTTTCACTGTGTTTGTATAAACACTTCAATTTATTTTATTTTTATATTTCATCAGACATTTAACTATAACGTGTTATGTTTGTATAAATATCTTTATTTTTGTATCTTTGAATATACTTATTTTTGCTCCAATTCTTATGTTAATATAAATATAATTTACAAATATAATTTTTATTTATATTCGACATTCTACCCTGACTTCTTATGTTTATTTAAAGGTCACCTATTATGCAAAATCCCCTTGTTCATGTCTCTTCTACATCAACATGGGTCCCCTCTTCTTCATGTCTCTTCTACATCAACATGTGTCCCCTCTTCTTCATGTCTCTTCTACATCAACATGGGTCCCCTCTTCTTCATGTCTCTTCTACATCAACATGTGTCCCCTCTTCTTCATGTCTCTTCTACATCAACATGTGTCCCCTCTTCTTCATGTCTCTTCTACATCAACATGGGTCCCCTCTTCTTCATGTCTCTTCTACATCAACATGTGTCCCCTCTTCTTCATGTCTCTTCTACATCAACATGTGCCCCCTCTTCTTCATGTCTCTTCTACATCAACATGTGTCCCCTCTTCATGTCTCTTCTACATCAACATGGGTCCCCTCTTCTTCATGTCTCTTCTACATCAACATGTGTCCCCTCTTCTTCATGTCTCTTCTACATCAACATGTGTCCCCTCTTCTTCATGTCTCTTCTACATCAACATGTGTCCCCTCTTCTTCATGTCTCTTCTACATCACCATGTGTCCCCTCTTCTTCATGTCTCTTCTACATCACCATGTGTCCCCTCTTCTTCATGTCTCTTCTACATCAACATGTGTCCCCTCTTCTTCATGTCTCTTCTACATCAACATGTGTCCCCTCTTCTTCATGTCTCTTCTACATCAACATGTGTCCCCTCTTCTTCATGTCTCTTCTTCATCAACATGTGTCCCCTCTTCTTCATGTCTCTTCTACATCAACATGTGTCCCCTCTTCTTCATGTCTCTTCTACATCAACATGTGTCCCCTCTTCTTCATGTCTCTTCTACATCAACATGTGTCCCCTCTTCTTCATGTCTCTTCTACATCAACATGTGTCCCCTCTTCTTCATGTCTCTTCTACATCAACATGTGTCCCCTCTTCTTCATGTCTCTTCTTCATCAACATGTGTCCCCTCTTCTTCATGTCTCTTCTTCATCAACATGTGTCCCCTCTGTGTAAAGAGATTCTGAAAGTTTCAGGAACAAAGATTCTCTCTCTTTTTGTCCTGATCCATTTCTATAAAAAAATAAATGGAACGCGATTTCCGCCAAAGATTTGGAAATTGGTCCGTGCGCAAAGCATTGTGGGGATTTTAAGACCGCGGAGTCTACACATGTGCAGCCTCGAAATTTCCCTCAACAAAGGACGCCGGCCTCGGTAGAATTCCAAGCATCCTGGACATTGGAACAGTCCTTCGGCGGGACTCGATGACGTAGCACCCTTGAAATAGTGGCTCTGGAGCAGCTTTCCTCAACATTGAGAAACACCCAGTGAATCAGCACTTTGGAAACAGGGCTGAAACAGAGGGGATTATGGGATGCTGCAATGATCTGTTTGGTGTTTCAGCCAATCAGAGACAGGCTCTGTATAGATCTGAGACCTGTAATATATTGATGTAAAACAGTATAATAGGGGACCTTTAACATTACATATCTATACAGAATGATATATTATTAATAATAACAAACCATTGTTTGATTGTAAGAAACATATATTGTAGTACAATGTGCACATTTTTACTTTAGCATCTTATGTTTATAATAACACTTCTATTTTACTAACTTTTTTATTGGAGTTTTTTACTTGTTTTCATATAAATACCTTTTCATTTGATTTTTTTATTACACATTCTTACTTTACCTTCCTATGTTCGTACCAATACTTTAAAGGTAAGGAAGGTAAGAATGGAGAAACCAGCTGGAGTGCGCTAGAATTTGAAAGTACGCAGCCGAAAAAAATCTGCCCCTTCCTTCAGACTTCCTTACAGAGCCCCTCCTCCAACACACACGAACGCGCACATGACCAATGAGGGCACGAGATGAGTTTGTGCCCAGATGGAAGGCTGACAGGCAGGTAGGCCATCCAGTTATTTTAGCCGGGCCGGCTCAGATGATTGGTCGTGCTTTTTACAGCGCTACGGCTTCCACAGATGACATTTTTTATGTATTTATTGTCAAAGCATTTAATGTATTCATTGCTATCGGGATGTTAAGAGCATTCCATGGAATATAACAAAAAGTGTTTCTGAAATAAATTACATACCCCACTTTTAATTCAAATGTATTACACTTTTTATGTTTCTATAAGTATTAAAGATAAAATGAAGAAAATAAAATAATATTTAAATATATAATTTATTTTAAATTAATTATTTATTTTAACTTTTTTAGAAAGCAGGTGTCCAGTTTACATTTGTTCTATAGAGTCAAAGCAGAACACGTAACTAACCACTCCTAATTTGATGTACAAAAATGCGTATTTAGAATAAATTGATAACAAAAATCCTTCCACAGGTTTTCCAAGTAGTAGAATGTACAGTACTTGTCTCGCAGGGAGCCAAAGAAGATAATGTTATAACATCTCATAATAAATCATCTCTGAAATGCTGTTTATTTAAAATATCAAGTTAAATTCATTCCTCTTTTTGGTTTCTCTAAAGGCCCATGTATCTTGTATCAGCTATTTCAGTAGAACACAAGCAGTAAATAACACTTGTGCAATGCAGTTATCATACAAATATGTATCCCGGTTTGACTTCTTGGCTGTCAACACCCAGCGTGGGCTGAACTGGATCCAAACCACATCTGGCTGCATGTAAACTGTCCACAGGGAGGGAGGGTTACTTTAAACCTGCATTCAGTAACCTAATCTGAGTATCAAAATATAAAAGTACTGTACCCTGATTATACCCTCAATATAAAATGCAGTACAGCATCAATTAGACGTTTTTTTACGCAAGTATTTTTGTATGTAACTGTGAGGAAATACAGGTACTTTCTTCTGACTAAGTGTCCTTGCATGTTTCTGATCATATGATAATAAAAGAGGTATTTTCTTATATAAGAATACACTGTCCTTGCAGGGTGCAGTGTGTTAAAACTACACCATGAAGGAGGAGGTCACATGACTCTCTTCTTTTAATTTTTTACTCCAGGAAAATATGTGATGTTGTTTTCCCAGGATAAACATTCCCACTCACAAGATTATCCCGCTCTCTAGAGGAAAGGGAAAGCATTAGTTTGGCTTATATTTCTTAGGAGCGTGGCCAAAAGGGACATTTGGAACATGAGAAAAGCATTTATATAACGCACAGCTGTTTGGACTGTATGTTCAAAGGGAAGTAACAACATATAAAATAACCGGGAGATAGAAAAAAGGAGAAGAAACTGATTGCTGAAGCGACAAGGTGATGTTTTAATCAGTCAAAGAAAGTAAAGAGGGCTCACCAGACATGACAAACAAAAAACAACTTTCTTATTAAAGAAAGTGTCGAAAGTACAAAGGTACACTGCACATCTCCTAACAATGAACAAAACACACGTTAAACTCTAAGGTCTCACACAGAGACACCACACATGCTGCACATGTCACACATGCAGCCCAGAGGAGAAGGGAGAGAGAGACTGCAGCCTTCCTCAGGTCCTTTATGGAGGCCCTGATTGGGGATTGGGACAGAGGGATTTTAGCCTCTGCAGACCATTTACATGCATTAAAACCTATAGAACACTCTACTAAAAATCAAAACAGATTATTTCTACGCTGTGTTACTACTTTTGCTTTAATCCACCTCTGATAATTATTAAAGCTCCCATGTCATGCTTTTCTGGTTATTACCCGTCCCCTTGTGTGTTATGAAGGTTTTTCTGCATGTAAACGGTCTGCAGAGTCACAAACCCTCAAAGTACACCCTGTAGCGAGTAAAACTCTAACACAGAAAAGACCTGTCTATGCTGCCCCAGAACGCCTCGTTGGAGACTTCCGGGTACCAAGTGACGTAAGGGGCTAATGCCCCCTTCACAACGGCGCTTTTCCAGCTCCGGCTCGGAGCTGGAGCTGGAAAAGTACCGGTTTTTCCTGTTCACACCGCAGCAGCGCCGCGTTATAGCTCCGGAATGCGGTTCACTTCCAGCTCCAAAAAATTGTCGGTCTAGAGGCAAGAGCTTCGGAGCTATGACGCGGCGTCGCTTACGTCTCTCTCGAGGCGTGCAGGAAACTAAACCCACCTCCCCTGAACATGGGTCGACTGAAGAGTCTCGTCATGCCTGCCTACAAGCAGTAGTGCTGAGCAAAGTGACTAGAAGGCAACCACACACTTATAAAAAAAAAACACACTTTATAAAGTCGGGCAACACTAACCAGGCTTCGTGTGATTCTGTTTATTTGTACCTTACTTTGACCATCCGTTTGCTGTTATTGATCATTGTGGAGAGCAGGCAGACGTTTTGTTTGTTATTATAGCAGCTATCGGATGGAATCAATACATGGGCTGCACCAACACACT